CGACCACGCGGCACTTCGGCCCGGCGGTCTGGGACGGCACGTCAGAGCACTTGCGCTTTGTCACCGTTGGGCTCTAACCCCATATTCGGGACCAGTCGCCAATCGTGAGCTAGCGTGGAAGGAGCCGAGTGCCGGGACTTCTCCGTTGGGACACGGAAAGGTCTCCGGCCTGCAGTCGGGAGGACCTCCAGCCTACGTCTCAGTCACGACTTTCGAGCCGCACAATCTTGCCTTTCCGAGTTCAAGTGAACAGCAATGATAATACGCATCAAGGCTTGAAACGGTTTGGTAGAGGCAGCTTTGCCAGCCACTTGGCTGATCAACACTTTTTTTGTTTTCATCTGGCAGATTGAACCATCGTCAACCGCAGCTTCCTGCCGATGTACCACTTGCTGACGTTTGCCTGTTTTTTTTCATAGCCCGACGACCGTGTTCGAGATGCCTCAGCAATGGCAAGGAGGACGCGTGCATCGACGTCCAGCACAAAAAACGTGGACGACCGCGCCTTCGAGACGACAGGGAAGGCCGCTACGCTCCCTCGACGTACCCGCATCCCCAAGATGCTGCGATTAGGAGGCCGTTGAGTCTGTACTCATCTGGCGGACCGGTTTCAGGGTACGATGATCCACTCTGGCGTGTCAACTCATACCGCATTCTAAAATCTCAACAAAGCGAGCCCATCGCGCCCAGATACCTTGAGCGAGCTTCGGCGAGCGAAGCCAACATGTACCCGCCGCCGTTGGCCATCCCGTCCTCGGCCGCTGAGCCAGTGGCTTTCCTCAACCTTGACATGGAGGTTGTGAAGGCGTCACCAACCTTCATGGATGCCATTGGCATCTCCAATATTCGGGGACGGGCTTTATTCGACCTCGTGACGCCTTCAGAACGGACCAAAGTGCAGGGCCACCAGCTCGTCCTTCAGGAGGAACGTAGTCGAAAAGACCCCATGTATCTGCCGCCGATTTTTGGAAAGCAGGAGGAAGAGCGCGTATTTGAGACTCTCCGCTTCGACGCCGAAGAGTTGGCGCGCATCCAGATGGATAGAAGAGACATGCTGGCGTTTGCTGCACCGGGCGGCCAGCTGAGATCGTTTCTTGTCCGTTTCGGCTCAGCCAAACGGGACTCGACCTATTTCATCGCCTTGATGCTGGTGCTCCCGCCAGGCGATCCATATGCCACGACTTCGCCTCATGCGAGGGAGGTGCATTACGGGTACCCAACCCATCAACCATACCATCACCCTCAGCACTCGAATACGTACAGCCAGCATTCACAGATGACTGCACCATTCGACCCGAACAGACCGAGATTTGGGGAGGGTTCCTCGGTTTCGCGTCCTTCCACGGGACACCCACCACCACAACTGATGCCAGGCCTGAGTCCTGGTCTGAGTCCAGGTTTCAGCCCTGGTATTGGTTCCGGCATGCCTTCGTATGCGGCGTCCCCAACCCGGCCTGACTATGCTGCTGGTCCCTCATCGAGTCAGATTCCTCGCAGCGAATTGCCTCCAAGCCACAGGCCACCACCGCAGCATTCGTCATATCAACTGCCACCAATCCGCTCTTCGCCACAGCAGGTTCCCCAGCAGTCTAAGCCACCGCCCAAGAGAGAGGACCGATCCGGCCGCGTTGACATTGGAGGCCTGATTGACAAGCCAGAGCAGCCTCGACGCCCTCAGTGATGCTCCTCTGAGCGAGCCGTCGAGATCTGTGATTTTTTCTTGCAGTTTCCGTGACCGACCGATGCACAACCCTTTGAACCCACGATGGCGGGCGTGCCTCGTGTACTTGTAACGAACCTTGCTTGACCTTCGAAGCCCATTTTTGCTGCGACCAAGTGTCGCCAAGAGATACCACTTGTACAAAAACTTTGTCTTGTTCACTTACCTTCCTACCCCTCTTTTAACTCTGCTGCCGGCCTCGGCAGCGCACCTTCTCGGGTACTGTGGCATCATTTTCGGCGTTCCCCTCTATTATTTTCATGTCCCATGTCGCTTTGGTTTCCTCGTTCTTCTCTGCCGGCTGATGGTTACATGGAGGTGGGAGGCATGCATCGAGGTCGATGTAGGTGTAGGATACCGCTTTGGTTGGAAATAGAACTTGGGTTGGTTTGGCTATTTCCTCATGTTGACCTGGAAATTGATAACGCGCTCAATGGAAGACTATATGGCATCAGGCGAACAGATGGCCTTTGACGCGAAAAGAGTGCATGACAGTGTTGTGTGATGCAACTAGACCGAAACGCGGTTCTGATGGCGGTTCCCGGTCAGGATTCGTCTCCTCGGACGCGAGGGGTAGGGACCCAAGATGCGGGTGGATGACGCTGACACGGAGACGGCGATGGCATGTCGAGGCGGCTCGGGGAGGGACGTGAAAGAGGAATGAACAAGGTGAAGAGAGACCCAGGATGGCCATATATAATGAGAGAAATAGGACCCTTGGTAAGAATGCCAGGCAGACAAGTAAACAGAAGTCAACGGAAGGGGGGAGGTCCATAATAAGGCCCTTTAAGCGCCCCGCCGCTCCGCCTCGCGCGCCCCCTTGGGCGGCACACAGACGGACTAGTGAGAGGAGGAAACGAGGTGCCTGAAGGCTATCTCTCTCTCTCTCCCTCTCTCGGCGAATGGCAACTGGGCGCATACGGTGAGGGTGGGCTATAACAGACAGCGACCTAAGGGATTTCGCCGCCGCCAGAGAAATGGAAGGGGGGGGAGAGGCGAGGGGGGAAGGGGGGACCAGGGAGGGTCGGAGCGCCAACGCTCACCGTCAGCGTCACCGCCGCGCCGGCGTGGTCGTTGTCTTTTCGTGCGCCGCGCTCATCTCGCGTGGATGCTGTCCGGAAGGGGGAGGGGGGGGAGGGTGTTATATATGTAGTATTGAATAGCACGGTCGAGCTATCGAGGACGGGTGTCCGGGGTCTGGCATGGCGGACGCGGGGCTGTCATTGGTCCAGGGGGCGTTTCCCCCGTTTCCCTGTGGCGAGATTTGTTTGCGAAACGGATGGCCCTAGAACAGAAGGGGCGCTGTCCGGGGGGGGGACATTATTGATGTGGGTTCTCTCTCGTTTCCTCTTTTCGTTTGGGAGCTGGGGGGGTTATATTTGACAGCTTGGTTCCAGGAGGCAAGGGCCCGATGGGGTTGGATGGATGGTATGATGCTGAGGAAGATTGGAGGGGGCCAACGACCGACGGCGATCGAGATGGGTAGACTGTCTGTGGACTGTCTGTTGGTGCTGAGGGTTGAAGATGTTTGTATGTGCGCCTGCAATGGGTGGACGACGAGGAGAGACGAGAGAGGAGATGACGAGAGAAGAGAAGACGAGAGAAGTGCGAGCCGGGCATGCAAGGAGTAATACGTGAGCGGGAGTCCGCCCTCCCCCACCATCTGAGCTGGGTCTTTCTGCTCCGTGTTGTAAGCCCACGCGAGCCGGACCTTTTGGCTCTTCTTGACATCCGACGGGTGGCATCATGTCTCACACATGCGCATGCGTGCGTACATGGTACAGTACATCCCCAGCCAACGTGCTTGCCAGCTTACCAGCTTGCCTGCCTGTCAGCCTGCGAGCGTCAGACTGCAGAACCGCGTGGTCTGCTGCCCCCGACAGCGGGGACGGGCTGTCGGTGACGGGGTTGGAGAAGGGGTCGGGCAGCAGAGACAAAAAGGAAGAGAGGGGAAGGGCAGGCAGAAGAAGCGAGGAAAAAGGGGGGTGTGATGGGAGTGGAAAGTCTGGGGGCGGCAGAAAAGGGTTAAGACAGGGGGGGTAGGAGGGTTGCTCGCGGGTGGTTTACATGGTAAATCTCCGAGAGTGGGCATACCCCTCCACAAGGGGGCAAAGGGGGGGGGGAGGCTTGGCTTTCCAATGGTTCTCGCGCTGCCGTTTGTGTCTCTGTTCGGAGAGAAGGTGGCCAATGGCTGATGGACGGGAGGAGGTTTTTTTTTTTATTCTTTTTTTTATTGCTTTATTCCGCCGCCCCCCAGTGGTCAGTGGGTTGTGTTGGTGGGCCGGGTCTTTTTTGCTTGTGTTTCTGTTTTGGGAGATGAGCGAGCGCTGACCAGGTGGCGGGGGTTGCAATGCTTGGCTGCCCATGCAGTTGGAGTCCCCCTTTCCCCCAGTTCAAGTTGGAGTCAGGTTATCGCTCGTGGCCCTGTTTTGTTCTGGCGGTGCAACAATGGCATTCTTATGACAAAGGTGCCCGTCGTTTAGGGTTGCCACTTTTCGTTTGTTCGGCTGTTGAGCTGGTCAAGGGTGGATGGCTGGCTGGCTGCTGGCTGGCTGGCTGGCTGGCGCATTGAAGAGCACGCCGTGAAACAATCAGTCAGCCCGTGATCTGCACGGATCGCAATTCTCCCCGTTCCAGCTGCTAGGCGCAGCTGTGCCGTTGACCTTGGGTGTCTGCATCGTGGGTGAGACACGTAAGGCTTCGCGCTTCACCGTCACCGCGCTGAGAGTGGTCCTTAGGTTGGGATTGATAGAATAATTCCTGTGCTACATATCTGGAGATACATGAAAAGGATAGAGTTCCGATTGACAGTCCAAAGAAACGAGGGTCAGAAAAGCAAAAATAAACCGCCAAAGGAAATGTGTGCACCGGTGTTGGTGGTACACAATCTTTGAGGACACCGCCTGGGTATCGATTCATGTCCAGGCTGTGCCAGATTCCCATCAAGTGCTCGGGAGGGGACGTTCCGCGATGGAATAGTGTACACGAGGACGAACTCGTTGCAGAAGTCCGGGGGTAAGAACAGACGAAGCCCGGCAGAGAAGCCAGTGAAGCCCAGCAGAGTCCGTCCGTAGGCGTGACTTGGCCGGGCCTTGTTTCTTCGTCTGGGGAGATGACAAGGTCGCATGTGTGGAGACCTTTCGGGGCCTGTTACTCTAGAAACATGCGCGTAAAACGGACAGGATGAAGAAAATACCATGTGAAAACGCCGTCGCCCTTGCCGAGGGTTACCAAGACTCTGTCGTGGCCAGTCGATCTTGGTATCGAACGTGGGTGCAGGTCAACGTGGTGCGACGAGATGAGTCGCTCCTCGTGTTCCCGCGTCATCTAGCAGACCATTGGTGCGAGCAGCAGGCCAAGGGCATGCCGATTTCCGCGGCGGAGTTGTCATCTCAGAGCTGGTTGGATAGCTACGAGTATAGCTAGTGCCTGTCACCGTAGCTCCTGTGACGACCCGAACGGTGAGGGGCACCATCAGCGTGGCGGCGGCGGCGGGCCTGGTCGCTGCTGTTGTTGTCATTGGTGCTGGTACCTGACGCCGATGGGTCCTCGAGTCTCATCGAGTCTGCTGTAGGTCTCTTGAGTCATGCTTCGAGCGCTTCGTATACCATCAACCCTGGCACGCTCCAGCTGCTCATCGAGGTCGCGCTCCATCTTGTCACGGCTACGCTTGCCATTGGAGTACTGATGGTTGTTGGGCGACCAAGTGAGGGTCAAGTCATGAAACCAAATGTTCGACTTCTCCACGGATGTCGAGTGACGAGAGCCGTTGGGGTCAGATCCCTCAGTCATGAGACGAAGACTCCCGCCGAGGTCGCGGCGGCGGTCGTCGTTGTAGCGGCCCACGCCCTGGTAGGTGAAGGAAGCTTGGGAGTCAGGGTTGGAGGGACGGCGCCTTGTATAAAGTCAGGTTGAGTTGAGGGGTTGTGGGGGTAGTGCCAGGGAGAAAAGAAGAGAGAGCGCTTACTCGGGACTTCCGTTCCGGGCCCGCGTCGAGGCAGCATCCGTGTTGCTGCTCCGCCCATTTTCGGATGGGTCCTGACACATTGCGGTCAAGCTGGCTGAGAGCACGAGGTTTTCTGCGATGTATTGATTCTGGAATGCTAGATCTGCAGGCGATGGAGAAAATATCATGGCGATAAATAACACATCCGCTCGTGCCATGGCGGCCAAGCTATATAGGTAGCTGATCAAGGGCAGAGCTGGTATGGGTATGAGTAGCGACACCTTGTGCACCGATCGCGACTGTACTCAGTGACCGATGAACAGGACGCATGCCAGTCGAAAATTTGGGCACCGCGGCTGAAAGCGCCCAGGCTTTGCCTGCGTGTCAGACCTCTGGGGGCGCAGGAGCCATATTAAGACGAGGCTTTGGGGTCCAATGGGCCTCAGCACTCGCGAGATGGCTTCCACAAGGCTGGGCAAACTCGACGAGGTGCCCCCCTCTGGCCTTGATGCAGTGAAAACGGGATGCAGTGAAACCGGTGTTTGGCGCGGGATGCCTCCGCCACACGTGTCTGACGGGCTGGTGTCTTTTGGTCGCTTAGGATCCAAATCGGTGGTTGCGCCAACGTCATATCATGCATGTTAGTGTCGCATTCGGACATGGCCGTAACAAACACCAGCATATTGTCCAGAAGGGCTTCCCAGTAGATGATCCTGCCAGTAGATGATCCTGCCATGATCGAGCCTGATCACGCACATACGTGGAGGGTAGTTGTAGAAAAGCAGGTACATGCACACACGAGGGGGGCCGGCGCGGCCCCCACGGCGTGGTCGTGATACAGAAGTGGGTGGCAGGTGTCATAAGCATAAGGCTGACAACCGCCAGCTTGGGGCCGGTTTCCAGAAGTGTTTTTCAGCCTGAAACGTGGGATCGTTCGCGAACGTCAGCAGCCTCTATCTGCAATGTACCATGTACCATGCCGCGATGTCATTACCCAACTGCTTTTACAAGGCTGGCTTGCATGGACGAACAGGACAACGTAGCTGTTGATAATAGGGGCCGCCCAGGCGACGTGGCCTCCCTTCGCCTATGCAAGTACGTGGCAGGTCGGAGGTGAAATGAGCGTGGCAGACTCGGCTTGCTCTCGAAACGATGTTGACATCCTTGGGGCGGTCGAAGTGCTCGTCATGATATATGGCGAGGCCTTCAAGCCACTACACGATTGAAGGAGATTGGTAGCCTTGGTACGATGCAGCCCACACGGGTTTCAAGGCTGAATTCCACGGCCAAAGTGGATTTGCGACAGGATGAGGGTTTTGTGAAGCAAAGAGGGTGAAGCAAATAGGGTGAAGCAAATAGGCGATGCCGACACGGAATTGTTCCAGCTGGGAGCGATTGTCCAATGAGTTTGCCCCCTCTGGCCATGTCGCGGTGAACACATGGGACGAGCCTGTCCACGTGACGACGCGCGATGGCTCCTCCCCCAGTTCGCGCCCCGCATTTGGCAACTGGCGACTCGCACTGTATCTCAACACCTTCTGCTCTGTGTCGCCATCTAGATCGAGGGCCATCATCATCGCGCACGGATTTGTGAAATCTGACACAGCACGAACTGAATGCATCTCCGTCTCCTCCAGACCTTACTGAAAGCTGCATCGCCAACCCACGGCCAATCAATAGCCCGCCCCAATTCGCCCTAGACACCACCCCCCCTTATTGAACCGGGCGGACTCTGCGTCGGGGTGGTGTCGTGAAGTCCGCACTCGCTTGCCTCGCTCCAGCTAGATCACTCGCCCACCATCCGAGTCATCGAAGCCCCAACATGGCTGAACCAATGGATGTTGATGTTGGCAGTGGCGCCAAAAGGAAGGCCCAGGACGAACCTGACGAGACGCGGGCCCCTCGGCGGATCAGAGCAAGTCTGCGATGAACGCCCCAGTCGACGTGTCATCTCTAACGTGCACAACCACAGGCTCTCTCACCCAAGGTGGTCAACAAGATTGCTGCTGGCGAGATCATCGTCGCCCCTGTCCACGCCCTCAAGGAGCTCATCGAGAACGCCGTAGACGCAGGGTCCACGTCACTCGAGGTGCTTGTCAAGGAAGGGGGTCTCAAGTTGTTGCAGATCACAGACAATGGCAGCGGCATCCAGGTACATTCTCACCGCATCCTCCATGTCCGCCTCACTAACGGAACCTAGAAAGATGATCTGCCCATTCTCTGCGAGCGCCACACCACATCCAAGATTACGTCCTTCGAGGACCTCACGTCCATCGCGACCTACGGCTTTCGGGGCGAAGCCCTCGCCAGCATCAGCCACATTGCCCACTTGTCTGTCACCACCAAGACGAAAGATTCAGCCGTCGCCTGGCGCGCTCATTTCCTCGATGGCAACCTCGTGCCGGCGAAACCGGGCCAGTCGGCTGAGCCTAAGAAGGTAGCCGGCCGCGACGGGACGCAGATCAGTGTGGAGGACCTCTTTTTCAACATACCGACACGACGGCGTGCCTTCCGCTCACCGTCTGAGGAGTACAACAAGATCATCGACATGGTCGGCCGCTACGCCATACACTGCCAGGGCGTCGCCTTTTCTTGCAAGAAGCAGGGCGAGTCGGGCACGAGCGTCTCCGTGCAGGCAAGCGCCTCGACGACTGATCGCGTGCGTCAGATCTATGGTTCCAGTGTGGGAAACGAGCTGATTGAATTCGCAACGTCCGACGATCGCTGGGCTTTCAAGGCCGACGGCCTGGTGACGAATGCCAACTATCACATCAAAAAGACGACGTTCCTGCTCTTCATCAACCATCGCTGTGTGGAGTCGACGACCATCAGAAAGGCCATTGAGCAGGTATATGCCACTTTCCTTCCCAAGAATGGTCGCCCCTTCATCTACCTGAGCCTGGAGATTGACCCGGCTCGTGTCGACGTCAACGTTCACCCCACGAAACGCGAGGTGCACTTTTTGAACGAAGACGAAATCATTCAGGTAGTGTGTGAGCAGATTCGTACCAAGCTAGCGGACGTAGACACCAGCCGAACCTTCATGACCCAGACCTTGCTGCCGGGCGCACAGTGGACCGATGCGGCGTCAAAATCAGCAGTCCAAGACGGTGATGGCGGTCCTCCATTGGCGGCGACATCGGGATCCAGTCGGCCGCGTAGGAATTCTAAGAATCTCGTGCGAACCGACACATCCCTCCGCAAGATTACAAGCATGTTCACTGCAGTACCGGCAACTGACCAGGACGAAAACAACACGGCAGCGGGAGACGACGATGTCCTCGCTGCGCCCGAGAACATCCAGTACGCGACAGTGGACAAGGAGTCTACGGTTTGCCGTCTCAGCAGCATCAAGGAGCTTCGAGCTGCCGTCCGAGACGACATGCATCACGACTTGACCGAGGTGTTTGCCGGTCACACGTTTGTCGGAATTGTTGATGAACAGCGGAGGCTGGCGGCCGTTCAAGGCGGGGTCAAGCTGTATCTGATCGATTACGGCTTCGCATGCTTTGAGTACTGCTACCAGATTGGCCTGACCGACTTTGGCAACTTTGGCTCCATACGCTTCAGTCCGCCGCTAGACCTCAAGGAGCTGCTGCGGATCGCCGCACGTCAGGAGAAGGCAGAGGTCCAATCACCCGAAGAAGATTTCGAGGTGGAACATGTCGTCAGACGCGTGGCAGAGCAATTGATTGAGCGCCGAGAGATGCTGCTCGAGTACTTCTCGCTCGAGATCACACCGACGGGCGAGCTCAGGACGATGCCGCTGCTCATCAAGGGATACACGCCGCCGCTGGTGAAGCTGCCGCGGTTCCTGCTCCGGCTGGGCCCGTATGTCGATTGGACGAGCGAGACGGCGTGTTTCGAGACGTTTCTCAAGGAGCTCGCGTCATTCTACGTGCCGGAGAAGCTGCCCCCGCGCAAAGGGCGTGCAGACAGCAGCGAGAATGCAGAGGTGACCACGAGGCGCAAGAACATTCGGTGGGCGGTTGAGCATATTTTCTTTCCCGCATTTAAAGCACGCTTGGTGGCAACGAAGCCACTGATGAAAGGCGGCGTGCTGGAGGTCGCGGATCTAAAGGGACTGTATCGCGTGTTTGAGCGGTGTTGATCTGGAGTGTAGGGTGATGTTGTCTGGGGAACTTGCTGGGCCGTGTGTTGCTCGAATGATGGGGACAGCCGGTCGAATAGCCTGCGAATGAAGCTGTCATTTCAAGCGTTTGATATGCTGTGCCTCAACATTATTTGAGCTTTCAAATCATCTACATCATTTACGAGGCCGAAGAGCTTGCCGCACGACGCAGCCAGGATTCTCACTATTCACCGAATCGCGAGTGACCGTACGTACATGATCGGCACAAAGCACTTGGTCACTCCAAGGCTTGTGCAAAACATGAATGTCTGGTGGAACGTGTTGTTCTGCTGGATTTGGACAGAACAGCTTCACGAGTCCTCAGACAGTGCCCTTCACCCTGATCGCTAGTACACGCAGAAATGGCTGCAACCCCACGATGATGGGCAGATACTCCTGTCAAAGGGTCAAACGTCTGCGAAGTTCAAATTTCCAATTCACGTCTCACAGCGGATCTGAACCAAGTTGATTCATGAGCGTTCTTCTCATTCATAACACATGAGCAACATCACAGTCCCAACACCATCAAGGCTGCGACATGAGCCGACCAACACACAGATTCGGCACCTCAACAACAACGGTAGCGTTCATGCTGCCCCCACGATAAGCATATGTAAACGTGCCGCCCCAGCCCGATGCTGCGGCGCCATGGTTCCCGTCCTTGTCAACGACGACAATGCCGCTGGCCACAGCCGGGTACTTGCGCACCATCCTGCGCACAGCATCCTCGGCCGCCTCTGTTGGCGCCATGCCGTTGCGCATGCTCTCGACAGCCTGGTAGCACGGCAAAAACCGCATCATAATGTCGCCGTCGCCCGTGGCGCCGCAGGCCCCGACGTCATTGTCCACGTACGACCCCGACCCGACAATGGGCCCGTCGCCCACGCGACCGGGGACCTTGAACGAGGCACCATTGGTCGACGTCCCCGCGGCCATGACGCCGTCGGCCGAAATGGCCGTCAGCGAAATGGTGTCGTGGCCGCTCTGGCGCGCCCCGGCGCAATGAGCGCGC